CCTGAAATGAGAGTTCCCACTTCCACCCCGGCCTTCGTACCAACTGGCTTTTTTGCTGTGTAACAAATGGGATTAAAAAAAAAAAAACCTCACGGGACTCAGACAGAAATCTTGCACACCCGCAAGAGAGCTGGTGTCCAGCTGATCTGGGCCTAAATCCTCCAGGTTTGGCTCCAAAGGCAACTCAGGCTCACCTGGCACGTGTTGAACAACATTCTCGGTCTAAGAGATAAGGTGGTTAATCTTGAGGCAACAGACGGGAAGACACGTCTGACCCTGTAGCTTTAACCCTCTGCTCACATCACATTTGCTAAAAATCCTGTTGGCCAAGGCCAATCACACCGTTAACACCAAAACCAGAGAGTAGAGCCGGTTCATGCCTCTCAGGAAGACGGGAAAGAAGAGTAAAACTAGCCAAAAAATAACCAAAACTTCACAGACAATCCCATGTGCTTTAAATGCCCCTTACTTTGGAGAACACGGTCCGGACAGAGAATGAGAAAGCCATGAGAGCCCTCAGGCATCAGAGGAGCAGAGTGCAGCACACACGTGTGTGTCACACGCACACCTTCGCCTGTCCTTGGTATGAGGACACAGGTAGAGCCCTTGAAGGGCAGGCTGGAAATGAGCAACTGCTTGTCATCAGTCATGTGCTCGCGACAAAGAACACAGAAGGCAAGACAAGCCGGTGGTGGTGCTACAGGCTGACGGAACTGTTTGTAGCGAAATTTGAGAATGCATACCATAATGTGAAAACATGACTACCCTTTGATCCAGCATACCCACTACTCAGGAGTTGCTCTATGAGCGGAATCAAAACAGTGTACACAGTTTAGACTAATTTGTTCGCTGAAGCAGGAACATTCAAAAAGTAAAAGCAGAAAATTTTTAAAAAATGAGTATCAACTTCTAAAAATTTGATTGAGTTTTGGCCCATCTATGAAGCATGCAATAAAGACATTTAAAACAAAGTTAAATTTATCTAAAGCAGCTCATTCATTCAAAAGAGATGCTTGCTGGGTGGTGGTGGTACACGCCTTTAATCCCAGCACTCAGGAGCAGGTGAATCTCTGTGAGTTCAAGGCCGGGCTGGACCGATAGCCTCCAAAAACAATACAGAGAGACCCTGTCTCCTAAAACCAAAAAAAAAAATGCTTAACATGTACCCACAATGTAAATCCTGTTCTTCATAGTGACAGTGTAGAAGAAACCAAGAGAAACAGCAGTGGGAGACAATGGACCAGTCAACAGATCATTTTAGGAAGTGACAGTATGCAACAATATCATACCCAAAACAGAATATGCAAAACTACAACATGGTGATGAGCTAAGAGCAACGCTGGGAAGGGACCACCTTTAACTGGAGAGCGCTGAAGGCCTGTGGGAGGGAACAGTGTTTCCATGAGCCCTGCATAGCCGGAAAGGTCAACAGTTTCTTGAAGAACGTGGAGATGTAGGGGAGGAACACCGCTAAGGGAGAAACAGCAGAGGCAGAGACCTTGAGATGGGAACACATCAGGTTTATTCAGAGGGCCAAAGACCAGTGTTCGGAGAGCAAAGTAGATCAAGGAAACACTCACGCAAGATGAGTCGGGATTCAGGGGCCTGGCTTTCTGCTCTGTCTCCTACATTTCTGTCGTCCCTTTAACTAACAGCTGAGTTTTTCAGACTAGTGTGTAGGAGGAAGCCTGTATTCCGCCATTAACCATATGACTTACTAGAGGCGCATACAGATGAGGTAATAAAAGAGTGGTTTACCACACCGCTAACCACACCCACTTTAGGCACAACTAAAGACATATATGGACGGATGTAAAGACGTATACGTATGTAAGCGGTGAACTACGTCACTAGCCAGGCCCACTTTTGGGCATGGCTAGGGAGCGTTACGGAGGAAGGCATAAAAGACAGCACACAGGAAGTCTTGGTCTCTTTTCCCGGAGTTCGGCTTCCTAACCCATGGCATTACATCCCGACTCTCCTGTGTTTCTCCTTCCCAGAGTCCTCCTGGACTCCTAGTCCCACCTATCTAGACTCCTATTGGCTCAACAGTGCTTTATTGACATAATCACAGGACTTCCCACATCATCTCCTCTTTTCTGTCTAAACAAAAAGAAAGGTCTTAACTTTAACATAGTCAAATTATATATAACAGAAGTTATCAAGTAAGAACACAGTTACAACATTTTGTCTATCAACATTTAACAAGATTTAAAGAAAATATCATCTATCTCATTCTTGTGAGTCCAAAGTCCTATATGTAGCTTATCTTTTGTCATAACTAAGGAAAACTATAATTATAACTATCTGTCTTCAACTCCATCAAAGACCACAGAAGGATAATATATAAACACTAGGATTGACAGAGAAATCTTACTGTCTGGACAGTCACCCGAAGTTCCTCTGTAACGTAGGGGCATCCATCTTCAGCTCATAGGCCACAATGTGTCTGGAACACTTCTCAGCAAAGCAGGAAATTTCAAACTGTCCATCTGCATTGGCAGTCTGTCAGTCATTTCTCTGTGTCCTGCAGAAAGTCTCGTAGACTCTTCCATGAAGCAGGAACCCTGTAAGACTGAGTTCAGCAGTCACTTTCCTGTGGGTCCTGCATGTCCAGATTACACAACAACAGTCAAACAATCTAGGCAAGAGCAGTTTCTTGCCCAAATGGCTAATCTTGCCATGTTGAAAGCAAACTCCATAACAAGTTTCTTCGATGCCCATCTTCCTCTCAGACATAATTGGTGCTGCCAGGAGCAGACATTTCTCATTGTCAAGAAAAACCCTAAACCATTTTAAATGTCATTTTCTGAAAGTCTTTGAAAGGTTTGAAGACTATCTATCTGTCTCAAATACATCTCTATATATCAGAAAACCTAACTTACCTAACTATAAATTCTGACTATTATAAGTAACTATCTATAGTCTGGATTATGCATTACATTTTAAAAGATCAGTATAAGCACAATACTTAATCAAGAGGAGAAATATACATATCACAAAATTGACCTTGAATTTGTATCAATAAATGAAAAACCATAACCATACCATAATTCCCCTTTTTACCATTAAAAAAGAGATTGGCTGTGATCACTAGCAGAGCGAGCACTGTGGATCCCACTTCACATGAGGAAACTGAGAGCCTAAGAGTTTATCAGCTTAGCTTTTCTCCATCCCACCTTTTACAGCCTGCAGAGTCAGCTCATAAACTATGAGGCAAGGGTTTGACATGGTGTCCGCTGGCGTTCTTGCCATCCCGAGCTAATGCCTGTGACGGCAAAGGGAGAGACCGCGACACACAGCAGCGCTCGGCAGACTTCCACTGCTAATGCTGTACCGTGTTGTCTCAGCATCTCTCCATCTAACCCACAGCCATCTAACCCAAAGGCACAGAATTCAGCCAAAGCATCCGTGGGATTCAAAAGACCAGGCCGTGAGGCTTCTAGATGACTTCCGTACCATTAGCCTTCCCTCTGTGACTCACACGCAAGGCTGGCAGTCTCACGCCATTTCTTAGAACAGAATCTGCTGGGGACTGGGAGATTAAACAGACTTCATTAATTCTGCAGAATAAACCATGGTGTGTTCACCTGCACACTCAGAAGCGTTTTTATGAATCATCAGAGCGGAGCTCACCTTGTAAACAGAGAACAGCCTGTGCTCGCCCTGTGTAAGCAGAAGTTCATGGCATCAATGGCCTTTCAATGGCTCCAATTTTTTCTTTTCTAAACCCATCCAATGAGCAGGAAGACCAGCTGCTCTGTGCTCCATTATGATAATTAGCAGTCTTGAATCCTGACCCAAAATGTTCAGAAGGTGGGTGCAGTGTATATGTGTACATACAGATATCTGCTCAGAATAAGTCTAGTCTAGAGGCAGAGGAGGTGGAGAAACCCTGGTTACAGAAACTTTAAAAAAATTGTTCGGGGGTATGCATACATGTGCACTCTGCAGGGGGTACACCAGCCTATGCATGCGAAGGTCAGAGTCTGGTATCACCTGCCTCACACTTATGTGGGTGCTGGGAACACGAACTCAGGTCCTCAAGTTTACACTACAGACACTACCCACTGGGCCATCTGCTAGCCTCTGACTCGTTTGGTATGCTACAGTTTCTCAATGGAAAGTTTCAATAGATCTTTTTTTTTTTTTTTTTTTGGTTTATACGAGACAGGGTTTCTCTGTATTGTTTCGGGGGCTATCGGTCCAGCCTGGCCTCGAACGCACAGAGATCCACCTGCCTCTGCCTCCCGAGTGCTGGGATTAAAGGCGTGCGCCACCACCGCCCGGCGTTTCAATAGATCTTAAGAGATCTCTATAACAGACCCAAGGACCTGAAAGAGATTGTCCTTGGTACAAAGTCACATAGGTCTTTCATGCATGAACTGAGAACAGAGCTCGGGGTTCCTGGCTTTCAGCTCTTGTGGGGGGGGGTTGTTTTTTGTTTTTGTTGTTTTTTAACTGCATTGCACCTACCTGGACACCTTGGTTGGACCAGAATATTCCAGATATTGGTTCTCTCCTTGGAGCAGTGTTCTGCCTGACTGTGAAGGGTTAGCCTGTGTCTTCCTTTAGCAAAGTAGTGACAATGGGCGTGTCAAAGCTGAGGCACAAAGTGAGTCTTCTGCTTTGTGCCTGGGGAGGCTGCACCTCAGTGAGTCTATGGTTGCAAAGATGAGGGAACCATGGGGCAGATCCACCTGTATCGAGAGGGTATCTCCAGCAGATCTACAGACATGAGAGTCAAATAAACCTCTATGTCTCTGGTGAAGACCTTTGTGGTTATGCTATACCTAGTGCGTCCTGAATGAAGGCCCATCTACAAACACATGTGCAAAATTGAATGATACACCAGGAGGAGTCTGGGCTTTGCAGACTGAGTGTGGGGATCTAGTTTCTACAGAGTCTCATGAAAACCACTAAAACTGTTCTAAGAGTACATTTCCTGAGCTGTGAAACGAAAAGAAATAATAGCCGCCATAGGCAAGATGACATGAAATTCAGAGCTTTTTTATTAACTGTCTAACACATAGTAGGGATTAGATAACAAACTCCCAGCTGGGACGTTAGAGGGACCCATCAATTGTAATAATACTGATGTTAAGTAATGTCAGAAATATAGTTTCTTTGTCTGGATTTTTTGTTGGGCATATGACACCCAAAATGAAGATGAAGTTCCCAGATTTCTTTCCAGTTAGCATGATTTGCGAGACTGCTTAAGCCAAGAAGATGAGAGTCAGCCAAAGTGCCGAGCACAGCTTCTGAGACACAATTCTGAACACCAGAGAAGTCATCCATTTCTTCCTCTTTCTCCTCACTGTTTTGAGTGTGGCCATAACGGCTGGATGCCGTGAGTAGGGTGCCCTGTCTTGTGTGGAAGGGGTAAGACAGAAGGAATCTGGGTTCTGAAACCCAGGCATACCCCTCAATGGCCTTTCTTCAATTTAGGAGAAAATAATGAAATCCTGACATGCCTGAGCCATTAGGTCTTATGGCTCTCACCACTCAGCATCTCTTAGGAGCCTGTTAGAAGCAGGGTTACCTCCACTCCCTACCTCCTGGGTAGGGGTTTCAGGGGAGGAGTATGAGAAGCCGTTTTCAAAAGCTGCAGGAGATACTCAAGCTGCGGATTCAGTTTTCCAGCTTGTATATATAACCCAATGATAACTGGTAGAGTAGTCTCAAATTGTAGGCTTTGTCAAGGACTTGGTGAAGGCTTAAAAGGCAGGCGCAATGAAACCAGAGAGGAAAGTAGAGCCGATAACCAACAGTGTCAGGATTTAAAATGATTTTGACAGTGTGGAATACTGGATGAGAGCCAAGCAGAAGAAATTTAATGGGAGCCTGTGAAAAAAAAGCAAATCAAAGTGTCCTTCCTTTATTGAAGGAAATATCAAACGTCCTGCTCTTTGACTTCTTAAATTAAAAAGAAGACATATAAAATTACATATTTTAAAACATAGTGAATTAGAGCTATAGACAGATCTTCATTATGGCTAACTAAAGAAATGGGAGGAGAGAAGCTTGGGAAACAAGAAGAGGAAAAGAAACTCGGTGTAGTAAAGAGAAGCAGAGTCAAGAACAGAAAAGAGGAAACCTAGGAATCTAGCTCAGGCCAGTCTGTGGGTTTGGATTTTGGACATAAATGAGTCAGTGTTACTGAGTGCCGGGAGCCACACGGTGGCCACTCTGCTATCACAACTGACACAGAAACAGAAGCAGAAGCAAGCTGAGTCAGATCACCAGAGTCACGCAACTAGCTATCAGTAGGAGCAGGGTCTGAATCCAGATGTTGAATGACCCTCCAGTGCCTTAGCAGACACTCTCCTCTGATACTACCTGTCTCAGTTAGGGTTACTATGGCTGGGATGAAACACCACAGCCAAGAGCAACTTGGAAGGAAAGGGTTTATTTCACTCACAGTTCCACAGAACAGCTCAACATCAAATGCACCAAGGGTAGGTAATGCAGAAATATTAAGATATACAAAATAAGGATGCCCTATGATATTTTATTGAGGAAGAAATCACTTATGTGAGACGCCAAGAAAGTCGTGAACCAAAGGTCCACACTCTGCTCTCCAGGCCGAAACCAGACCGGAAGACAAAGAGTCTCCTCCCCCTAGCTCTTTTTATCCCCGGTTCGTTCTCTGTACCTATGAACACACACAAATGGGCGTGGTCAGCGCTACAGGTACTTATACCTCTCCCTACAGGTAGGACCTCAAGCAAGACAAGAACCTACAGATGCAGAGGCCACAAAGGGGTGCTGCTTACTGGCTTGCTCAGCCTGCTCTCTTACAGAACCCAGGACCACCAGCCCAGGGATGGCACCACCCACAATGGACTGGGTCCTCCCCCATCAATCACTAATTAAGAAAATTCCCTCTGGGCAGTGGTGGCGCAAACGCCTTTAGTCCCCCACTCAGGAAGCAGAGGCAGGAGGATCTCTGTGAGTTCGAGGCCAACCTGGTCTACAATAGCTAATTCCAGGACAGCCTCCAAAGTCACAGAGAAACCCTGTCTTGAAAAAGAAAAAGAAGAAAAAGAAAATTCCCTACAGATCTTATGGAGGCATTTTCTCAACTGAGGTGTCCTCTGAGATGACTCTAGCTTATGTCAAGTGTTATAAAACTAGCCAGCACACTCTTGTTAGGAAAGACTTTCCGAAGAAATTGATCTCTATGAGAGTAAGGAAATCCATTCACTCACTTGTAACCAGAAAAAGGAGAGATGCAGGGAGCCAAATGATCACCCAGAGATGATCAGAGGCGTGAGCAGAGACACCAGATCCTTCCCAGTTCTGTTGTCCTCAGTCCCTGGCTCCATTCTATGTTGGAATCCCCTCTGAGATCCAAGATACAGTCAGTGGTCTTGAAGCTCTGTGCTTCTTGTTCAGGCAAAACAAGGGCATCTCAAGGAGTGTGCCACATCCTGCAATATACATTCTTGTATCCAGATTCACTGTGTCAATTAAGACAGATGAACCCTTTGGGGCTGTAAGGGCCATCAGAGGCAAGTCTACAGATAGGAGGGCATATACTTCTTGAGGCCAACCTAATGCTAGAGTCAAGGATGGCATCACCCAAAGTCCAGTCTCTGGTACCTGATGGGGGATGTCCTTCTGTATATATGCTTCTCTTATTGGTTGATGAGTAAAACACTGATTGGTCAGTAGCCAGGCAGGCAGATGATGAGGATACCAGACCAGGAAGAAGGCTGGGGAGAAGGGGCAGAGAGAGGCCGAAAGAGACGCCCATGTAAAGACAGAATGAGTAACATGCCGGGGTATTACCGGGTAAGCCAACAGCAAGTGAAATTCTTAGATTAATAGAAAGGGGTTAGCGATTAAGAGAGAGCTAGCCAGTAAGAAGCCCTAGCCATTAGTCAAACAGTTTACAAATTGATATAAGTCTTGGTGTGTTTATTGGGGGCTAATCGGCTGTGGGACCAGGCAGAACAGAAACTTTCATCTACAGGTACCCAGAACGCAGCAGGCCTAGTATTTATGGCTGGGGTTGTATCTTTTCCCAAAGAGAACCATTTTCTTGCCTGTTTGAATTCAGCCAAAATAATAACCAGTGTGGAAAACATAAAACACTCGCTAGAAAGCACTTGGGGCCTAAACCAATCAACCCCCCTTTTACAACTGTTCGACAGCCTCCTGTGCCTTTAAAGACACCACAGGAAAAGCAACTTGGACACTGCCCTTCCCACTGTCCTTTCACAAGCCATTCTACACCAAGTGGGTGGGGGAGAGGGAGACACGGGGAATACAGTAGCAGGTACATCAGAAGGAGGCAGCAGCTGGTGACAAGGGGACAGCACACACCTTATCATTTATCTCTTTTAATAATGACAAGTAGAGAGTGTCCCTGCTTTATAAATTAGGGAACAGCCCAACTTAATTCAAATGACAAGACTACACACACATATGTGAGAGAGATTAATACTGTAAATTTTGCTACTCCACTGGGGTTCTACATTTAAAAGTCAAACAGCCAGCTGAACATCAGAACTGATTAATTCTCTCTGTCTCTCTCTCAGTCTCTGTCTCTGTCTCTTGTCTCCCTCTCTCTCTCTTTCTCTCTCATACACACACACACACAAACAAACACACACGCACGCACGCACACACGCACACACACATATATATACAGAGAGAGAGATTAATACTATAAGTTTTGCTACTCAACTGGGGTTCTACATTTAAAAGAGAAAAAGCCAGCTGAACATCAGAATTGATTAATTCTCTCTGTCTCTGTCTCTGTCTCTGTCTCTGTCTCTCTCTCTCTCACACACACACACTGACTCCAACAGTAGATACACTGTAACCAGCCTCCTCACACTGTTGCCTCTAAAACTTGCGCCCAGCAATGGACTGTATCCTCAGACCATAAGCCAAAATAAACGCTTAGCTGCTGTTGTCAGATATTTTTGTCACAACAAAACAAAAATAACTACTACATCTTACCTCCATTTACACTGTATCTGAGGGCTCCCAGATGTCCTGCAGGATTGCATCTTGGTTTTCCTGGGTTTTCTTCTCCTTGTGTGGGAGACAAGATGGCTGTCAGAAAACCTTCTGCATAGTCCTCCTTTTGCATAGCCAAGCAGTGCCTTGATAGCCAAAGGCATCTGAAAATCCTGACATCTTAGGCTTTCCTGGCTATTACACTTATCAGAATAGTGTAGTATATATATTTACAAAATAATATGACTTGAAGTCAATCACTCAATTTGTATAAAAATGTAGAGGCTGCAAATCAGAACACACAAGTCCACCACCATCTACAACCGCAGCAAGTTTCCATGGCAAGAATAAGAATCTAGTTCAAAGACTTTCTGAACCAGAAGCATCTGGCTTTGACACCTTGAAGATCAAGACAGTCCTCCAAAAATCATCAACTCCAAAAAGCCATGATATGTAACAAGGACAAAAGGTTATTTACAAACCAAACCAAGAGCTTGAACTCATCTTTTTAATAATTTATCAACTTGCCCCATGTGTTAAAAGTTGCATATTAAGAGGTCCTCAGCACAGAGCAAAGGACTACCGGCCTACAACCCACAACTCCAGAGAAGTTAGGAAACATACAGGGTCCCCCAGAGAAGGGGAAAGGAACAGGATCTACTGAGCAAATTGGGAGTATGTGGGAGGGGAGAAGGATTTAGGAGAAAGAGAAGGGGAGAAGTGTGGGGAGAGGAGGACATGAGGGAGCAGGAAGATTGAGTCAGGGGAAGAACAGAGGAGAGCAAGAAAAGAGACACCATAATGAAGGGAGCCATTATAGGTTTAAAGAAAAATCTGGCACTAGGGAAACATCCAGAGATCTACAAGGATGACACCAGGCATGAATTTAACCAATAATGGAAAGGCTACCTTAAATGTCCTTCTCTGATAATGAGATTGACGACTACCTTATATGTCATCCTAGAACCTTGATCTATTAGCTGATGGAAGCAGAAGCAGGCACCCACAGCTGATCACTGAGCTGAATTCCTGGAATCCAGTTGCAGAGAAGGAGGAGTGATGAGCAAAGGGGTCATGACCAGGCTGGAGAAACCCATAGAAACAGCTGACCTGAACAAGGGTGCACTCATGGACCACAGATTGACAGCTGGGAAACCAATCTAGGACTGTTCTAGACTCTCTGAATGTGGGTGTCAGTTGGGAGGCCTGGGCAGTCTACAGGGGCCTCTGGTAGTGGATCAGTATTTGTCCCTAGTGTACGAATGGACTTTGGGAGCCCAATCCATATAGAGGGATACTCTCTCAGACTAGACACAAGGGGGAGGGCCTGGACCCTGCTCCAAAGGATATGACAGACTTTGAAGATCCCCCATGGAAGGCCTCACCCTCCCTGGGGAGCAGAAAGGGAGTCAGTGGAGGGCAGGGGAGGAGAGGAGGAAGAGGGAACTGGGATTAACATATTAAACAAGCTTGTCTCTATTTTAAATTAAAAACAAAGAAAGAGGTCCTCACAGTTTTCAAATTGGGAGAGAGACTGAAGTTCAAAGAGTCAGGAGAAGCTATTATTTAGCTTATGCCTCCTGCTGCCCCAGAAACAGGGAGAATTGTCTCAGCTTGCATGAATGCTTTTCCTCTAAAAGAACTCTCGTGATCAGTTTGTTTAAGCTTCATCCTGGTTTGTAGACTTCACCTGAAATGTTCTTAATTGATATATCTCATCCTCATTTTCAACCCTAGGATCAAGCCAGTAAGCAGTTCTCCCCTGTGGTCGCTAGTAAGTCCCAAATGTTGATTCTATCAGTTTGGCCTAACTAATGCTGCAATAAGAAGCCCAAGATTATCTCGAGTAAGACTTATTCCCTGTTGTCCACAGGTTGGCTGTCATTTTCCAACATACCCTCTTCCCTTCAGATCTGGTCCATGCCATATGGTGGCAGAGGGAAAGGGGGAAGCGGGCATTGACTTTTCCGTGCCATATCTGGATGCTGATTATAGTGCTCTAAAGACTCCTGGGCTCCTGGTCCCCAGGGAAGTGCTTCTGGGAGGTGCTATGGATCTTTGGGGTACAGGGTTTCATGGGAGGTGTGTCCTTACAGGACAAGGTTAGAACATGGACTCTGCCTTCCTTTGCTCTTTGCTTCGTGTGATGAATCGGTTTGTTCTATGATAAACTCCTCCATAGGCTGTGTTGTCCAGAGGATCACCTGATCCTGACCTGAAACCTCAAGAACTATACATGGGAATACGCCCTTTCTGCATACCTCTTCCTTAGCTCAGATATTGCATTGTAGTAACGAAAAGCCGGCAAACATGGCGCACTTGGAAATAACAGTGCACTTCTAGTTATGCTCCATGGGCCGAAGTTATTCCCAATACCAAGACTAATAAAAATGGGGGAAACGGGTTCTCCTTCTCACTGAGGAGCAGTGGGGAATGCACCCCGAATGACGATGAGCAGACATTTTGTAGACAGTAGTGTGATCTCCGCAGCAGTGTGCTAGTGAACACGCAATAACTGCCCCTCTCGGGAAGAACGTCCCCATACACAGCAGTCACCAGTGTCTGCTGTGGTCAGTTCCCAGCTGTCAGTGTGACCCGGCGAAAATGGGGAAGAAATGTGTGATCAGCTCTGATGAGCCAGTGTGAACAGATTACAGCACATGGTTGGTGCCACCAGATTCTGAGTTAGTCAGTAACAAAGTATAAACTGGCCTGCGCCTTTTCCCCTCCCCCAGCTATAGCGCACTCCCACAGTCTTGTTGCAGAGGACAGCAAGGGATGAGATTGTACCATTCAACGTAGATCAGTCTCTAGCTTGAGATACACACTCAGTCTTCCTGTACTTTGCTACTTCTGTCTTAACTGGCACATTCAACTAGAGAGTAAGCATGTGAGGCTGAAATAAAAATAATCTTGTGCCTCTATACAGAAGATATAGCCCCAGGTTCCTCTTTTAGCATGATGCTTATTAAGAACTTGGCTCTCCTCCAATAAAAAAAAAAGGTAGGAATCATTCAAAGACCTTTAATTCCAAGAGTGGCTTGATGAGGATACGTCTCTATTTTCTTTTTCATGTTTACAATTCTTCAATGAAAATCTTACTTCACTCTTGGACCCCAGATTGATGGCTGTGTGGACAGCATGGGACTGACCCAGACCCCCTGAATGTGGGTGTCGGTGAGGAGGCCTAGGCAATCTATGGGGCCTTGGGTAGTGTTTATCCCTGGCATACAAATAGACTTTGAGTGCCCATCCCACAATAAGGGATGCTTTCTCAGCCTGGACTCTTGTGGGAAGGCCTAGGCCCTGCCCTGGATGAAATGACAGACTCCTGAGATCCACCTCACCCTCCCTGGGGATCAGAGTGGGGATTGGATGGGGGACTGGGGACCTGGTGGGGAGGAGGGGAGGGTACAGGAGGTTGGATTGACATGTGAAACAAGCTTGTTTCTAACTTAGATTTTTTTAAAAAGAGAAAAAAAAGAAGAAAATCTTACTTCAAATGTCCCTGAATTTGGAAGAGTCTCTCACATGCCCCAAGACTGAGGTTCTATTGTCAAAAGATACAAGGATACTTTTTTATATGGATAAGATGCATTCCTCTGATTATGCTGGGGAAGTTGCTCACATACTCTTGAGTTTTTGTTTCCCCATCTGTAGGGTGGGGTCCTAAACCTACATCACAAAGTCATTATGAAATAAAAATACCTGACATCATAAAACATTTGTCAAAGTACCTTAAGTGTGGTAGTCCCTCATGAAGCAACATCACCATTCGTACCTAAGGACACTGGTTAGAGACCGTTATTACTAGGGCACAGAACTAAATTGGTGTAGAAAGGCCTTCCTCAATGGCCTCGGCGCACATGGCAGGCTATGACTTCAAGTACATAGGAAACAAATGACTTGGGCGTCTCCTCCAGAAGCATGAACATTATTGTCATTTAACAAAACTGCTCTCTACTCATTAGTACATTATAGCTATTATCTGTAGCTCGGCTCTAATGACAAGGCTCTGCTGAGAGCAGCCTTGACCTCTACAGAGTGGACCCTACATCCTACTCCCAGGGAGACAGGAAAGCTCACTCAGCCATGCCATAGACATCTCTACTGCTTCTGTCACAAGGCATCAGGAAATACCGCCTCTGCTCATGGATGATCCAGAAGGCTAAGAAAACACAGGTGTCCGATGTAACATCACCCACTTTACAGTGCCTTAGACAAATTAATCACTCATAAGGGGGAGTTCACCAGCCCCCTGAAGAAAGTCATTCATTCTTCCTGAGTCTGTTAGGAACAGACAAGATCATAATTTCAGACCACTTATGCATCTTCACTTACAAAATAATGATGGGGAATATATTAAATACTGATAACTGAAAACAATGGTGAGAGTTGCTGAGGCCTGATAGCCCACTGGCTACTCTGCTGTGTGTATGTTTGTATATGTGGGTGACTCTTAAGCATATACAGTATCAATAATGGTTCTTCAGAGCTCTCTCGTTCACTGTAAACCATGTATCAGCTTCAGATACTGCCATAATTTTTCAGAAATAACACTCACACACAGCAAGACTTGGAAGACTTTAAAACAATGGATAAGGAGGCAGAAGCAGACTTAATTAGGCATTTCAAAGTGAAGATTTACCATTCCTTGCATGAGCATCTTCACACACTTGGGGTACAAATGTGGTTATTTATTTCCTTCTCCCATTAATTCATGGAGGAAAGCTTGCTATTATGACAACGACGGGAACAACAAATCCACATATTTTCAGTGATTTCTTGCTTGCATAACATTCCAAAGCTAAAGACTTGGTGGAGAACAGCTTCCCCATCGCTCCAAGGATCCTTGAGGATCCTAGCCTGATGGCTCTCTCTTCCCTCAATGATGGGTTTCTAAACTCATCCAATAAGGATGGTTTGTCCCAGTGTTCCCAGAAGCCCCTTAGGCAAGCCAAATTACCTTCCTGACACCTCTTTTGATGCAGGTAGAAAAAAAACATTACATTAAAACTTTATATTCACTAATGCACCCTTCCAGATTGGATTGTTTGAAACAGATGAACCAAATGTCACCCCCAGGGTTTACTAGACGTCACTGAACTAAAGAGGATCTGCAAAAACACTTCCATATTATTACAACATGGCATAAAAGGGGAGAGGTTTTGAAGGAAACAGTTAAATAGTTTAAGATGTGTAATTGGTACTCAATACATTTGTTATTCTGGATTGTGTCTAAATTTAGCAGCTGTGCAACTGCTGTTTTACATGATAAACAAATTAATGATAATGATATCAATCTAGCAAGCACCTTGAAATAGACACATGTCTGTAGATAGCAGTTTGTGCAATAAAATCCACTTGGTGTTTGCAAGGTGGCAATTAGTGGGTATTCTGTTAATATTCCTGCCATCGATGAACAGCATTTAAATTGCTAAAACGGAGAGACCCGGGCCTACTACATATGTTATTAAGGGGGAGTGCAGCATAACCCTGAGGATATTGTTCCTCAATAGGTGCCTTGCGTACTACTGCCGCCTTTGCATCCAATGGCACAGAGGAACTGAAGAGCGGATCACAGGGGTCATGAACTGGGCAGAATGAACTGACTGGCTACCTAGGCAGATGTGAGGCCTCGTGTCACTAAGTCTCCAGCTCCCTCACTCACCATGCAAGCTCCTGCTGTGGCAAAGGGGTTAAATTTTACCACCGGGGAGAGTGCCTTCCCGTTAGGGTGTGCTTAGACATTGCTGCAGCCCAGGGACACTCCACTGCCCTCTCAGCAATCTTGGAGCCAGAGAGTCGGTCCCTCAAGACAGGAACCGAGTGCTCTTTCTTCCTAATGAGGTAACACACATACAACAGCTTTAAGACCCAACTTTTTCAGAGCCGCCTTTTAAATATCAAGACATCACTCAGCTCTCTCTGGTAAGGAGCAACATTGCAAACTGGAAAATGTTTTCATGGCCTGTGATAAAAAGAGGGAAAGGGCAAAAAGGAAGGTGGAGGGGTACAGAGACAAGGAGAAAATGGAAGGAGAAGGGAAATGAGCCAAGGGGTGGGGATTTAACTGGCTGTCCTTACATGTCCAACATCTATTTTCTAGAGCTTTGTAATTTTACTTATTAAGACACGGTCTCATTACTTAGCGCTGGCTGGCCCCAAACTCACAGAGATCTGCCCACCTCTGTCTCCCAAACGCCGGGATAAAAGGCACGCACCTCCCTGCCTAGCCTTAAAACTATAATTTCAACCCAATTACAGATAAATGACTCTAAAGAGAGAAGTCAATTAGGTTGACTTGCGCATATTCATCGTGTATAAAGCAATCACTCCTCTTCATGTTGGCAGGAGAGCAGGAAATTCTCTAAAAAGAAAATGAAGAAAGCTTTTTGCTGTGACAGAACGGGCAAGAGAAAGAGGAAATGGGAAAGTGGTCACCATTACCACCCCAGTGCAGTACAGCAGGGAAGCAACACTGCATTTTGCATGAGCGCCTGTTTCCAGAATCAAATCCTACCTTTCCCACAATCAAGCATGACTGTGGTCCATTCACTTACCCCTCTCATTGACTTCCCTGTCTGCAGAATGAGGATAGCATTGCCTTCCGCCGAAGGTTGTTGGAGACTAGGCTAGCCCATAGAAATGTTCACTCCCTGCGGTGGCTTGAATGAAAACAGGAAGGACTATGGAGGGAACGGCACTACTAGGAGGTGTGGCCTTGTTGGAGTGGGTGTGGCCTTGTTGGAGTAGGTGTGGCCTTGTTGAAGGAAGTGTGTCATTAGGGATGGGCTTTGAGATTTCAGAAGCTCAAGCCAGGCCCAGGTCTGCTCTTCTTCCTGATGCCTTTGGATCTGGATGGAGAACTCTCACCATGTCTCTGCCTGTATGCTGCCATGGTTCCTGCTATGCCAATAATAAACTAAACCTTTGAAACTATAAGCAAGCCATACCAATTAAATGTTTTCCTCTATAAGAGTTGTCTTGGTCATGGTTTATTCAAAGCAATAAAACCCTAAGACACTCCTTAATACATTGCAGTAGTACTTAATTCTAACTCTTTCACTCATTTATTACTATTGATTACTCGTATAATACCACACATAGCTTGGTGAAGAGCAATACAATCACTTTTGGTTTTGGTTTTTCCCCCTTCATAAAGTTTGCCCTAGTTTGCATCTCTTTTACTGTGGAAAAAAAAAACACTGAGCCAACCAACTTGGCAGAGGAAAGGGTTTATTTCATCTTACACTTCCATATAAAGTCCATCACTGAGGAAGTCAGGGCAGAAATTCTAGAAAAAGCAGAAGCAGGAACCATGGAGGAACACTGCCTACTAAACTGCTCCTTATATCTTACTCAGATTGCTTTGTTATACAACCCAGATCCACATGTCCAAGGATGGAACTACCCACAGTGAGCTGGACCCTCTCATATGAATCATTAATCAAGAAAATGCCTCACATACACATAGGCCAATCTGATAGCGACAATTTCTTGATTGACAACCCATCTTCCTGGTTGTCTAGCCAGTACAATGCTCAATACATTAATTTAGCCAATATACAATTATGAAATATCTATTATGTACCAGGTAGTCAGTTGATGCCAGACATACATATATTACACGAATGAGGTAAGCCAAGGCCCTTGATCTCTAGATTTTTCATACTCTTGTTCAGAAGAAAAGATCTAAATATATGTGAAGTGTTTACAAAAGAGGTAAGCCCAGAGGGAAACAGCATGGGCAATTCTCACAAACTTCAAAGTCACAGAGAAGGTTACCCTGGTTAGAGGGACCAGAACAGAGAGTCCTAGGCAGGTGGACCTTTTTTTTAATAGGAGCATAGGAAAATCTGAACACTTTTAACATCTGTAGAATAAAACAACCCTTGAAGGAGTGGGAGACATGTCTGAGGAAAACTGCATCAAAAACAACACAAGATGTGTGTCCAGTAAGTGAGTAGAAATCCAGAAGACTTTTAAGCTAGCTGATACGATGTACTGTTTTCAGCTTTCAGAAAAGTCTTTGGCACTGGATGGTCCTGAGACAAGACAAAAATGGCCAGTTGTAAGGTTTGGGAAGAGTCTTAAAGAAGGAAGAAGGCTCATAACATGACGATGAGCACTGACTGGGATGGAGAGTTCATGGTTGACCTCCACCACAGAAAGGAAGACTTTGAGCACATGCAAATGACAGAATGGATATAGGAGATGACTCTGAGTCTACGCTGTTATATGTTTGGGAGTTCCAAGAGCACAATGAGCAACAAGAGGACTCAATGTGGGGAAGATTCATTCACAGGATTAAACAGCGTATCAGTGGAACACAAAAGTAGATACAAGTATGTCATGGACTTCAGATAACCATGCCAAATCAGATGCAGGGACAGTGCTACCAGTTCAACATAAATAAACTCTGATATATGTACCGTGTACTCTTTCCCACCAGCTGCCTGGGTCCCACCGTTGTTTAAGTGCCCAAATAACACACGAGACACTATATATGGAGCTGTTGGCCATTAGCTATGGTTTCTTAATGGCTATCTGATGCTGCAACCATAAACGGCACACTTACTGAAAGTAAAAATAAGTATTTATTGTAGAAATTACTCAC